TTATGAAAGTTATGATCAATACAAATGTTGACCCTTTATAGAAAAGGGTCTCAGGCGAGATCTAATGCTGTCGACTTGGGAAATTGAATTTTACAAAAAAAAATCAAAAACATTATTTCGTACGTGACTAGAGCTATTATTATTCAAAGTTTTCTCCTTTTGGGGTGACATTTTTGGCAACTTTTGTCATAAGCAATTACAATATTCAAATACGAACATGAAAAAAATTCGATGAATAATGTAGCTGAAGGGTATATATCATTTAAGGTCTTTTTGGACCAAATCCGTTTCAGGATATTTGGAGTCAATCTAGCGGTGTCCGTCATTTAATACGGTCATAACTTGCCTCATCGAAATAACGGTATTTACTCTAGGTCTCTTTTGACCAAATCCTTTTAAGGACATTTGGAGTCATTATATCGTTGTCCGTCATTTAATACGGCCAAAACATGCCTCATCGAAATAACGGTTTTTAACCTAGGTCTCTTTGGACCAAATCAATCTAGCGGTGTCCGTCCGTCTGTCTCTCTCTCTTACTTGTGCTCACGATAACTCTCGAAGGGAGTATCCGATTTAATCCAAACTTGGTACATCGTAATATTTTTAAGAAAATTAGACCTAGTTCGGAGATGGGTAACATCGGTCCACTCTCTCTCACAAAAGGACATCATTTGCAAAGAAGATAAGTTACCTTATAGAAAGAGGAAGGATCATCCAATTTTGTACAAATTTTCCCAATCCCAATATTTTTATCAGTGCTAGGTCATGTGGGAAAATGGACAATATCGGCCAACTCCATCTTGTACCCCCCCCCCCCCCCCACAAAGGGTCAAAATTTGGAACAATTATAAATCTCATAAAATTCGAAATTAGCATCCGACTAAGACAAAATCTGCTGTGAAGAATATATACATATCGATCCACTCCTTGTGGTACCTCAATATTTAGAATAACAATTAACTTCATGAAACGCAAAATTAGTATACAATTATTTTCAAATTTGGCAAATTCCAATATTTTTATTAACACAAGATCAGGGTGTAAGAAGATGGGTTATATTGGAACACTGGTACTCAAGTATTGGAGTACTGGTATATTTGACTTCTGGTACCTTCCCCACAACGTGTTAAAATATTGAATAATTATAACCCTAATAAAAAGTTGTATTCAAATGTTATATATCTCAACATTTTAACCAACACAAGGTTCGATATTAAGAATGGATAGAGCGAACCACTTATTCTTGTAACTCCACGACGACGGGTCAAAACGAGCATCGGATTCTTCTCAAACGTGGCAAATCCTAATATTTCCACAAACAAAAGATCTAACATGGAGATGGGATCCACAAACGTTCCAAACATTTTGTTAATCATATGTATGATGATGGCTCGGCTGAAGGTCAATAAACCAATTTTATATATAACAATATCTCGATTGTCATCGACAATCACCTTCAGGGATCTGTTACAAATTACACAATTGATTACAAATTGATAAGAGAAATTACACAACACACAAATCTTACATTAGTTTTGTTTTAAAGGAAAACGTCTAATCTAATTTAACGTCAAATTCGAACTAAGTCTTCTTCCATCTGTACTTTGGTACTAAAGTTCTTTAAATATGTGCACAGTGGTCCGTATCGGTTTTATAGTACATTCTTTTTTTCCGGTGGTATATTTATGATATGTAACATTTCTAATGTGAATCGTCTTTTGTAGTTGTTTTCTTTTGCCATTATATCGATGTCCTTACAAAGGGTAACGAGTAAAAAAGCTGTAAGTTCGGCCGGGCCGAACTTTGAATACCCTTCACCATTTGGAAAGAAATTGGCAATTCTCAAAAACAACAAAATCCGTTAAAAATTCTGTTAAAATCTTAAAAATACCGAATGTAGCTGTTACATTAGGGTCTATACGACGACATGGAACTGCATAGGTAACTTTTGTCATAAGCCATTACAATATTCAAATGCGAAATAATAAAAAATATCGGTGAATAATATAGCTACAATCATTAAAATATCGAATATCGGAAGGTACTGTTATATGGGAACTATACGAAGACGTGGACCTGCACAGGCAATTTTCTGTCTAATGCTGTAGTATCTATTACGAACTTCAAATACCAACATTTGAAACAATTCCGGTTAATAATGTCGCTAAAATCATCAAAATACCGAATATCGGGAGTTACCGTTATATGGGGGCTCTACGACGACGTGGACCTGTACAGACAATTTCCTGTCATAGGCTGTAGTATCCATTAACATCTTCAAATACCAAATTTGTAGCAATTCCGGTGAATAATGCAGCTAAAATCATCAAAATACCCAATATCGGGAGGTACCGTTATGTGAGGGCTATACGAAAGCGTGGACCTGCACTGACAATTTTCTGTTATATGCTGTAGTATCCATTACGAACTTAAAACACCACATTTGAAACATTTGCGGTGAATAATATCGCTGAAATCACCAAAAATAAGGGGGGTGTCATTACATGGAGGCTACGTGGACCTACATGGCCAATTTTCAATACCAAAAGTCCTGCGGACATAATATACATTTGAGTCAAATTTTATCAACTTACTTCATTTCATTCGGAAGCTAGAGTGATTTCCACAGACGGACACACATCGCTAAATCGACATAGAATTTTATTCTGATCAAGAATATATACACTTTGTGGGGTCTAAAAGGTATATTTCGAGGTGTTACAAACAGAATTAAAAACTTAATATATACTATGGTGGAGGGTATAAAAATGACTTATGCAGGTCCACGTCTTCGTATAGTCCCAGTATAAAGGACATCATTTAAAGGTTATCAAATGGTGAACTGTTAATACAGTTCGGTCCGGCCAAACTACTTGCTTTTTTACTTGTTTTACCCTCCACCATACTATGGAGGGTATATTAATTTTGTCATTCCGTTTGTAACTCCTCGAAATACTCATGTCAGATCCAACAAAGTATATATATTCTTGATCAGCGTAAAATTCTAAGACGATTTAGCCATGTCCGTCTGTCTGTCTGTCCGTCCGTCTGTCTGTTGTAATTACGCTATCTTTCGAACAAATTGAGATAGAAGGCTAAAATTGTGCACACATGTATATTTTGCCAGTAGGCAGGTTAAGTTCGTAAATTGGCCATGTAGGTCCAAGTTATCATATAGCCCCCATATAACGGTACCCCGATATTCGGTATTTTGATGATTTTAGCGACATTGTTTACCGGGATTGTTTCAAATTTCGCATGTGAAGTTCGTAATGGATACCCCAGCCCATGCCAGAAAATTGTCTGTGCAGGTCCACGTCTTCGTGTAGCCCCCATATAACGGTACCTCCCGATATTCGGTATTTTGATGATTTTAGCGACATTGTTTACCGGAATCGTTTCAAATTTGGTATTTGAAGTTTGTAATGGATACTACATCCTAAAACAAAAAATGAGCCATGTAGGTCCACGTCTTCGTATAGCCCCCATATAACGGTACCCACCGATATTCGGTATTTTGATGATTTTAGCGACATTATTTAGAGGAATCGTTCAAAATTTGTTATTTGAAGTTCGTAATAGATACTGCAGCATAAAACAGAAAATGGGCCATGTAGGTCCACTCCTTCGTATAGCCCCCCTACAACGGTACCCCCTGATATTCGGTATTTTGGTGATTTTAGCGACATTGTTTACCGAAATCGTTTCAAATTTGGTATTTGAAGTTCGTAATGGATACTTCATCCAAAGTCAAAAAATGAGCCATGTAGGTCCACGTCTTCGTATAGCCCCCATACAACGGTACCCCCCGATATTCGGTATTTTAATGATTTTAGCTACATTATAAACAGATTTGTCTTCAAGTTTCGCATTAAAATATTGTAATAACATATGACAAAAGTTGCCTATGCAGGCCCACGTCGTCGTATAAGCATTCGGTATTTTTAAGATTTTAACAGAATTTTTAACGGATTTTATTGTTTGGAAATTGCCAAATTTGTATCAAATGGTGGAGGGTATTAAAAGTTCGGCCCGGCCGAACTTACAGCTTTTTTACTTGTTTTACAATCAAATGGACACACACATTTTGTACATGGCAGAGAGAGCCAAACTTAAAAACAGAACCACAATTAACGACTTTGAAAAATTATTGCTCAGCCACAAGAATAACTCCAAATGATGACTTAAAACTAGCGTTTTCAGTAGCGAGAGCAAAATGTCATTAATTAAGTATTAGCAGAATTATTTCATATTGATGACTTTAAAATCTCAAATAATTTTCGTGTTTAATGAAAAGTGACTCTCGATACTTTTTATTATCATCTGATTTTCACCTGTCAATCATAATTTTACCAAAAAAAAAAACACAAAAAAAAACAAACAAAAGACAATTAATTAAAATTGCGGTAAAAAATGCCAGGGCATTGTCTGACTGACTGGCCATTGTTCGTTCCCAAAAATAGCCTTTTCATATTCCATTTGAATGGAAATCGCCTTAATTGACTACTTTTGACAACGAAATTTACTGTCAGACATTCAATGAACTTCAGACAGTCATTGTTGCTGGGGTGTGAAAAATTGTGTGTTTTTTCTTTTTAATTTCATTTATTATTGGAAATTTTCCATTATTACAATTTTCCATCAATAGTTCGCATTATCATCCTCAACAACAACAGCATCATCGTCATCATCATCACCATCCATTTTCATCATCATCATCATTGGCATCATTATGGACATTTATTTTCGTTAGGGTATGTGTGGCTGTCTGTGTGTCGATCCTTTGTCTTAATTTGAAATAATGTCCTTTAATAAAGTCACACGAGGAAGCATTTGTGACATGCCGGGTGCAGGGATGGATGGGGGAGGGAGGGATGAACCTTGTTGATTCGATATTTTTTCAGTAATTTTCCAGTGTATGGTGATAATTTAATGTGTCTGTATTTTTCTGTCTCTCTCTCTTTCTCTTTTTATGCCACACTTGCCAACCAAATCTCCAGAGGAACGATTAAGCTCAGCCAGAGCCTCAACATGCAGCGGAAATCGTTGGTCATTATTGACACGTAATACAACAACTACAACGGCCACCTCCACACCCACATCGGCAGCCTGTAGTAGTGCCCCGTGGAACAACAATAACAACAGCAGTATCAGTAACAACAACATAAGCAGCAACTTTAATAACAACAACAACACGCTCAGCATAAAATCACTTAACCTGCCCAAGGATGATGGAACCCTTGTCTATCGGCGTAAATCTTCGGGTAGCACACCTCATGGTAGTTCCGGTGCTGTTTTGGTTGAAGCAGCCATTGCTGGCGGCAGTGGTGGTACAACCGGAAATTATAGTAACTCGACAGCTGGAGGTGGTGGTGGTGGTGCCGGCGCCCAAACCCCCGATGCTTCGATGCCATATCGAGCCTCAACCTCATCATCGACGGCCGATGATTTTGAGTGTTATGCTGCCGATGGTTCCGTCCTGCTGAGGTAAGACGAAAAAGAAGCATGTCGAGCTATTCACACGAATTGCTTAGGAATTTTGTGGTCAATGTCAGTCAACATTTACTCGAAGTGCATGTTTGTTTTTGTGTGTGTCTTTTTGTTTAGAGATTTGAGATTAGAGAAGGATAAGTTCTTCAATGTGCAAATTAAATGTTAATTGAAATACGTTGTTGTGGTAAGTGGTTTTATTAAAAAAAAAAAATATTTGCATCTGATAATTGCTTAAAAGTAACGATGTAATAAAATTATTGGTTAGAATGGTTTTGGTATTAAAGATTGAAGCAATGTAAGACAAATATTTGTTACAGAAAGTGTGTGCAAAATTCACACCAGGATGAAAAAGTAGCTTAAGTTAGAAAGCATTAGTAGGTTTATCAACAGATATAACCGCCCAATTAATGACTGGAAAGTCGAATAAAATTCACTTTTTGGAGGAAATTGATTTTAGGAATATAAGTAGGTAGGTAGGTGTAGGCACAATATATAGAATATAGGTATGTTCCATGTTCCATGAAAGATGAAAAAATAAAAATCATCTAGACCGAACTTTTCATGCCCACCCACCACTTCGAAGTTACTAAAATTTGAGAATACCGTATATGAGAGATAAACAAAAATATGTAGAAGACACCAAATTACAGCCACTTCAGTGGCAAATGTTACAGGGACCTTCGGGAACAATTCAATATTTGGGTATTCCAAAATCTGGACCTAGATACAATATTTTTGACGGGGATAAATGTCTATCCATTAAATACTTTTTTAGTCAGTTTGGTTGGAGATTGCTGTAAAAAAAAATGTAGGAATTGATTGTACTCTGAAAACCTGAATCTGAAAAGCCGAATCTTTAATTCCTCCGCCATTTAAAACAAGTTAAAAAGTATCAGTCGGTTTTGCCGACGTATGTATAACCTAATGCCGACGTACGTATAACCGATATTTTTTTTACCCTACACCACAAGGTGGTCAGGGTATTATGTCTTTGTGCATTTGTTTGTAACAGGCAAAAGGAAACGAGATAGACCCCTAGTTCCTTTTGATGATCTGCATAGAATCACTTTCTGAGTTGATTTATGCATGTCAGTCCGTCTGTCCGTCCGTCCGTCTGTCCATGTATTTTTGTGAACAAAATGCAGGTCGCATTTATTATTCGATTGTGATGAAATTTTCCAAACAACATTTGTTTGGCCCAAGGACGAACCCTATTGAAATTGGAGATAATCGGTAAAAATTTAGATATAGCTCCCATATATATCTACGTCAGATTTGCCTTTCATTGTGCACCAAACGTGTAATATCAGAATAGTATGGAATTTTGCACATACAACCAAATTAAGCCTGAAAATAAGTATGCCAAATTTGATCGAAATCGGTTCAGATATAGCTATAGCTCCCATATATATTTTTCATCCGATTTGCTATTTTTGTCGTTCGCAGCCGTAATATGCACTTTGTAACAACAATATTTGGGGAAATATATCAAATACAGCCCAGAAATATATTTGCTAAATTTCATCGAGATCGGTTCAGATTTGGATATAGCTCCCATATATAACTTCGTCCGATTTACATTTGATTGTACACCAAACGTCTAATATTTGCCCAAATTGGATGACATTTGGCACTTACGACCCAACTGAGTCTAGAATCTAGTATGTCAAATTTGGTGAAGATCGGTTCAGATATAGCTATAGCTCCCATACATACTGTTCATCCGATTTGTCATATTTGTTACCCACAGCCGTAATATGCACTCCGTAACAACGATATTCAGGGAAATATATCAAATACAGCTCAGAAATATCTTTGCCAAATTTTATCGAGATCGGTTCCGATTTGGATATAGCTCCCATATATATTTTTATCCGATTTCAAATTAATTGTGCACCAATTGGGCAAAACAAGTCCGAATTTAAAAGATACAAATGCTTTGGCACATTTGGTCTTTTGAACTTTAAATTATAAGTGCAATCATAGCGTGTATGATTGAATTCTCCTATAGAAACTTTTAATTGTTATGCGGAGCTCTACTAAATCAGCAAAGTGGTGTAGGGTATCATAAAGTCGACCCCGCCCGACTTTAAGACTTTCTTTACTGGTTTTTAAAATATATTCTGATATGCGTTAAAATTTTTGAAAATGTTGACCCCTTATTGGGGAGTTACTGAAGGAGTAGGCCAATATCGTTCATTTCGTATCTGACATAAGTCTAATAAAAATATTACAAGGTGCCAGATTAAGACTATATCAAGGCTAGGCAAAGAGTATCCCTTGGGATATCTGTGTGTTCACCAACACAACTGTAAAACACAAATTGTTTTGAGTTTTATGTCAAATTAGTTTTAGGAGAATATTTAGTTTTATTCGAGCAGTCGATGAGGAAGGTGCTGTCGGATATTTTTATGAATACACCGTAAGAAATATTAGATCACATAAATATATCTTAATACATATTTGAAACAATTATTTCTGAAATTATAAAAATTACAAATATTAAGATTTATATACTTGATTGATTTATTTTTGATAGAATTTGTATAAAGAGGGAATTCATTTCATATTGGCCGACAAATTAATTGTCCTTCTAAAGTAGTAGATATTTTCATATCCCCCGATTTCTATGAAATGTCATGTACAGGACTAAATGGACTAAATTTTAAGAAAAATAGCAAGATGCGATGTTTATCATTCTGTTTGTAATTCATAGAAATAATATTTTAGAACCCAACGCAGAATATGAGTTTCTGATCAGCATAAAATTCTACGACTATTTGCGTATGTCAGCCTGTGGAAATCGGTATTACTTAGATGGTTAGCATGTTATGTCCGAAATTATTAAACACAAATAACATCAAAATTATATAAAATTGCTGAAATTGTCAACTTATATATTTTTTTAATTTTAAAATGAATCATAATTGAAATAATTCTGCAAATATATCTCCGAATTGTCTGTCAAAATATTAATTTTTAACAACGCAGTTGTTTTGAAAACAGAAATTTTTAAATTGAAAATTTAAAGATAACCATTTATTTCTCACTCTGTAAAGAGAGGCAAAAAAAAACACTCGCAATATTTTGTTATTTCAAAACACATACAATCTCAAAAAATTTTTGAGGCTCTCTGCCTTGCCCTGGACTATATCGACTACTTCCTTTGATTTATATGAAATCTGTAATAATTTTTGAAAATTATGAAACTTTCGTGATATAGTGGACTAGAGTATTACATTTTCGAAATGCATTTAAAACTCACAAAAATATTGGGATATGCAACATTTAAAGAAAATCGAAAATTTATTTCCAATTTTATGCGAATAATCAAAATGTTTAACTTTTGTGGGGAGGTACGAGAAGGGATAGGCCAATATATCCCATATTAGCAACAAAGCCTGTGTGTATGTGTATTGGAATGTGCGAAGTTTAGAAAGAATCAGATGTTTATTTCGTATTTTATGAGAGATAAAACTATTCAAAATGTGGCCACTTTGTAGGAGAGGTACAGCATATTCCATTAATTGTACATATTCCATTTTCACGCCAGATTATTCGTTAGTAAAATTATTGGGACGTATGAAATTTTTATAAAATCCGATGTTCATTTCACTTTTATGAGCGTTTTCTTTTTGAAAATTTTGATCCGCTTGGGGGGGAGGTACCAGAAAGAGTGGACATATATATGTCAGACCTTACCATCAAATCTTGTGTTGACAAAAATATTGAGAATTTTAAAATTTGAAGACAATCGGACTCTTATTTCAAAATGTTGACCCTGTGTGGGGGAACACTTGATGGAGTGCACCGATATATTCCATTTTTGTACATGACCTAACGTTGATAAAAATATTAGGTTCCCAATGTTTGCTCAAAATTGAATTTCCTGTTCTATGAGATAAATTATTTTCTATAAAAATTTTGACTTTTTGTGGGCGAGGTACCAAAAGGGGTGGATCAATATTGCCGAACTCGATATAAGTTTGATAATATTTCAATGTACCAAGTTCGGACCAAATCGGATACTCCCTTCGAGAGTTATCGTGCGCACCAGCCAGCCAGCCAACCAGACAGACGGACGGACATCGCAAGATCGATACCAAATGTCCTGAAACGTATTTGGTCCAAAGAGACCTAGGGTCTAAAGCCATTATTTCCGTGAGGACGTTTTGGCCGTATCAAATGATATATACCATATGTTGAGGTTATAATTAAAGTATCGCTATTACATATACAAACCAATTAAGAAATGTCTAAAGCCGGGCGGGGCCAACCCGTAACAAATAAACATTAATATTGGGAACTTATGTGAAGTATTTTTGTGACTATCAACTATGAACCTTTTTAGAATGTGTATCACGGCTTTAGAGCAGTTACAATTAGAAATCTGAGGTAACTTAGATATAGAAGGTACATCCAAATCTGAATTGATTTCCACCAAATTTTACAGAAGCATTTGAACAGGGTGAGATAAAAAAATGCAACAAAGTTAAACGCCTTAATTTTTACATTTTTTTAACTTTTATTGAAGGAAATTAAAAAATTTCGGAAATAGCATCAAATTGTAGATTAAGTCTAGATTTGTTCGAATTGGTCACCTTTGACACGAATTATGGCCTTCAAGCGGCCAATGAAACCGTCACACGCTGCCCGAATGTTGCTATGCGCTTTTGGGCCAGTATCAGCGAAGCGCTTGTTTGAGGTGATCGACACTTTGGTATTTTTTTAGTGCCAACCTTGCTTTCCAAAATACTCCAGACACAATAGTCCAATGGATTGGTATCCGGAAGCGAGGAACGTCATTTTGTAATCATTCTTGGGTGACGCGTGCTGAATGCGATGGTGCTGAGTCCTGTTGGAAAGTCCAAGGTCTGTGGCCAAAAGTTTGCGTGCCCAAGTCTTTAATACACCCTCCAGAATATTTTCGCGTTAATATTCGGCATTCATTCTGATGCCACGGTCGCTTAATACGAGCGGAGAGCGACCATCAGCTGTTATGGTGGCCCACACCATCGCCATGGCCGACGCTTGAGTTCTGGTGGTCAACCTAAGGTGCACATATTCAGCTGACCTCTTTGGCAAATAAACACAATCATTTTGTTTGTTTACAAACTGCTGGACAACGAATGTTTTCTCATCGGAGAGTTCACCACTTTCGGCCAAGCGAAGCAACTCTTTAGCTCTTTTGAGTCTATTTTCTTTCTGTTGCGGTATAAGTTCTTGTACTTTTTGGAATTTCTATGGCTCGAGCTCATTTTTTCAATATTTGCCGAATGGAATATTGCGATATGT